AAAAGCAGATTGCATCAACCCTCAGTAATCCTGCATCCATCTATTAACTACCCCTATAGCTACAGCCACAATAAAACACACCAGATTGACTCAACCACGAGGAACTCCGAGATCTCAAAGCTGTCCGTGTGAGCGGAGAGAAATCGTTAAGACGTGAAGACTGACTTTCCCGCCGAACACCGTCGGCTACTTCTCCCAAACGTGACAGTGAAGTATTACTAAAGAGCCCGTAGGCAGGAAAAACTACAGAACAGAATAAAGAAAACGACCTCTGGTTCAACTTTAACCCACAGAGGAACTAAACCGCCACAGCAGATGGATACCGAGCGTCCAGCTGAGCCCACACATGGTTAGCACTCTGCCATTTAAAGGTCTCCAGCATCAGTATCTATCATCCTTCTGACTGTGGAGGTGGAAGCACCCGGACCACACGCAGCATGTAAAAATAGATGCTTCCGTTACAAGAGCTTAGTACACCCAGCTCCTCACGCTGCAGTAGTCATCCAGGCAAACAGGAGGTTTATTTTTGAATAAGAAGAAAACGGGGAGAGGAGTTACCTTCCATTGGAGTGTTTGGGTCGGGTCGGTTGGCAAAGACCACGTCCACATAGTCTAACTGCAGTCGTTCTAGAGAAGCCTTTAAACCTGAAAACAACAGATACAATATTAAAGTGCATGATCAAAATAGCTGTAAATCTCAGTGTAACGCTGTTATGTTCCCCCTGTTGTCTTGGCAACCAGAATAAACTCCAGAGAAAGCTGATTGTTGAGTTGCAGCTTTGATCCCCTCAAACTGAAGGCACTAATTAGGATGTAATTTATTACATTTAATCCACTGACACACTGCCATGACTCTTACCTTCTATAATGTGTTTCCGGGATAAACCTCTTTCAGTTTCTGCTCTATTTAAGAAAAAAGAAGAAGACTGAGTTAAAGATAATAATCTAGGATCTGACCCCCGCGCTGATGCTGCATCACCCGATCCGTTTTTCTGAAATACGAGATGATGCATTCAGCTTTACTGAAAGAAGCTGACAGCAGATCAGTCTGGGTGACATACGATCCCGTTACCGGGGGCATCAGCATCAGACGGGTCAGGAGAAATTGCACAGGAGGATAGTTTTTCATTTGGAACAAGTGAATGAAAACTTACTTTCCGCCCCAGAAGATCTTGGTTGTTATCACCAGGCTTGAACGCCTAAAAATGGAGGATGACAGCACATCTGTTAGAACACCTGCCAAAGAAACCTTCTGAATTACAGGAAGCAGTGGAGTTGGTGATATATGCAGCCCACGCTTGGCTTAAATATGGCTGATATTACGGTACACGCTAATAATGGGAAGCTCAGGATTATTCATTTTATTTTGTGCAGCTTCAGCAGAGTTATGTGGAACGCGGGCGTACGCCGATCTCGGATCGTCTGCAAATGTCAATCCAGGATCGACAAGGTGCACGACAAAGCACAAGTTCATCCATTATTCACCATGTTTGAGGAGACGCCGGAGTGAGAGGCCGCATTAATCTTGATGTGTTGTGAGCTGGAACGTCACATTACACAGCCTCCTGATAGGTGATATGAGATTAGGCAGGCTGGAGGGAGAAAGGAAATTAAAAAGCACCAAACCGGATTAAAGTGTGCCTCCTACCTCCATCCTTTCTTCTTTATGATGTTTCCGAGCACCACCTCTGCCCTGCAAAGCAGACAGAGAAGAGATTAAATAAAGATAGTTCCTGAAACGATACGATCGTTTACCAGTGGCTTTCTGGGGACGGATCTGTACAGGTACTGAAGAGCACCCGTGTAAGACTGGTTCCAGGGGCCTCAGCCACCACCATGTGGCTCATTAGCAGCTAAAGTGGTGTTAATGAGCCACATTACGTTCAGCATGGGGCTCATTAGGGCTGGGCACGAAGGTGTCAGTGGGACATCTCTGAGGTCTTCTCACCCTGACAAATGTGATGCCTCCTGGTGAGACAGCTGTACACAAGAGGCTTTTGGACACTAAGACACGCATTCATTTTCATTTTGAGCTCGGATGAATTTGGCTAGCTGCTCTAAACAGTTTAATGGTGTTGACAGGTGCATGGATCGTAATTCACCACATCTCCTGCTCCTGGCACCAAGTTTGTGTCGATCCCACCGAGTGGTGAGAAGTCTCCTGGGTTGGGATCATAGGGTCAAAAGAGCAAAAAGGATGAGGGATTTTGCAACACGTTCTGCTGTCAGGCTGCATCCCATCATACCTACAAATATGGATAAAATGTGCAAGCAGCATCTTAACTCATTCATGGCCAATGACGACTAAAGCCGTCATTTTATTTTATTTTTTTTACTGTGGGCATCGGAACGAGCCCCTGCACCGTGAGAACAAATATCTCAGCTCTAAAGCCGATCTTCATCCGCACACATCACATGATCAGGAAGCAGAAAATCCTTGTGTTAGGAGATCGTTTTGGGCCGCTGCTGTAAAAACAGTGAGGCGCGAACCGGAAAAGCTTCTGCCGATCACAGTTCAACAACGGATTATGAAAGAACGGATAAAGCTCGGAACACGCGGATTCTCCCTGATGTACGATGTGAGTCTCCGCTTTGTTTTGGTTGTTTTGGCATCGACATCATCCTAGCACCCAACGTTCTGTGACTCTTAGCTCCAAACCATCTGAATGAATCATATCAAGATTTTGTTAGGACACTTTCTCTACTGCACTTTTCAAAATCCTGCTTTTCATTTAGTCGTTACCAGGTCACAATCACACACAGCTTCCTTTCTAAGGGTGGGCGGGCGATATAGAAAACTTTTCCAACCATTATTCGTTAGTCCCAAAAGGTACGATGGGCGTATCTGACGGACATATTTGAATGTTTTCAGCAATAGTAAATGATGATTGTGAACCAGTGTTCATTTTGTTGACAAAATATATTATTTTTTGTGACGAAGAATTTTTTGCAACCAAAATCTTAAATTTGTACTTCTGTAAAAATTATTTACGACAAAATTTGATCATCATATTTGTTTATGAATAAAAGACGACAAATCCAATCAAAACACGGAAAAGATGGAAGAACGGAAAAAAGATCCAATCAGCAAAAGGAACAGGTGGGACAGGACGAAAGAAGAACCTATCAGAGAAATACGGGGTTGTGTGTCTGAACAATAACCATGTTGTTGGTCTGAAGCTGGTTTAGAGGGTTTATAAAAACCAAGACTGAGGTTTTAATGGGCTAAATAATAAAGCTAGACTCATATTTAAAAGCCTTGAGCTAACGACTCGTCTTGCTCGCAGGCCTGATGACCATACCTTGACTTTCCAGTTTTATATTAAATATGTAAAAAGACAAACTTAATGTTGAATGATGTTGTTCCAATAAAGTCAAACTGATCTGAATTGGTCACGTTATTACAATAACACACCAGTGTGTTATTCATGTGACTCTCCACTAAACCTGAACACGATTGTAAAGCGGTTCTTTTGTTTCTACATCATTTTCTCGCTCCGTTTCAGATTCTTCTGAGTGGCTCGATTATTAAAGCTGAGCAAATAATCGGTTCCTGTATGTTTTTATTTTTTCACACTTCCCATCCTTTATATTTCAGGCAGCTGAACCTGCTGATAACAGCTGAAAGATTTCAGCCTCACTGACCCAGTTTTATTAAATCATAGAAGATAACAAGTTCCCAGTAGTTTGCAGTTACATCTTATTACTTTTTCATGCTATGAACATTTTAATAAACTAATAACTTCTGTGATGTTGTGTCTCTTGACGCTTTTTCTGCTTTCTTTCTATTGGATGCTCCTACATTATTTACATAATTACTCTGCTGTTTTATTTAAATGTCAATAAAACAATAATACCTCCCTGAACATTCTCTTCGCCCCATGTGGTGTTGCATGATTCACTGTGTTAATCCAAGCAGCCGCAGCAGGACAGTGATTTTAGACCGCTGAAGCACTCTACCGAAGGCAGTAATGTCCATGCTCCTGAGCTTACACTAAGTGTGTGTCTCCTACATACCTCCAGGGCTGCCACTTTCTGTGTAATGTGAGCAGTTTCACCGCCCAGATATAAGGTAGTGGGCCCGGAGCCATTCTGACTCTTCATCCGGTCATTAAATAGGTTATTCTGCAGCTGAGCTGATGCTGCGACTGACAGCTGTATAACAGTACGCTGTTTGTGAATTAATGATACTCCTTTAGTTTAAGATTTCTTAGGAATTATGCATCGGTTTTGCAAAATGTCAGCAATTTGTGTAGGCAAAAACGTTCAGCCTGAGAGAAAAGCTGGAAATCCGGAACACTTCCTGCAGACTTACGAACAACCAGATGCCGTTGGTGTTAGCTGATGGCAACAGCAGCTGGATAAGCGGAGGATCTGCATTTGTGCGTCTCTGATCCATGCTTTGAGCAGATATGTTGGTCAAGCAGGAAAATCAATATTTGAATATGACTGTGCTTTGCTTTTAGAGCCACAATCAACAATTTATACATCATGTTTATCTGTTCATGCTGACGGAGTCGACATCATAGCAGCTCACTACACAACACGACACACTCGTCTGAGTAACACTCTACAGCACAAAGGGTGTGATCTGTCCTACTCCTGTGTGCACGATTTAAGCTCCTTGGTGGTGCTTTGCGGTGAAAGCTGTCAGGATTAGCACCTGTGCAACTCAAACCTCAGCTGTGTGACACGCTGTCACACAAACGCCACCGACACACACGGCAGATTTCTGTTTAACCGCAGCCTGTTTCATAGAGGCACGTTGATCAAAGACCGGGGCGGACATACTTGTGTCATAGATCAGCTCTGTGCTGGTTTTTCCTGGCCTCCCCGACATGAAACAACTAGAACAGTGAAGCGTGTGGAGATGACACGTTTCAGACAACAGCTGTGGAGGCATTAGATGAGAAATAAGGACAACCGCTGAGACCAACTGCTTCTTTTCTTTTTCAATTTCTTCCCAGGCGCTCTGATGCGCTTCTCAAAATGCAATAAAAAAGCAAAAATATTCCTCAGGGATTAAGAAAGAAAAGGGACTTGCTGCAGTTAATCAGATATACTGTTTGCAAAGGATTATCCCTTCGATTATTTCAAAGCACCCAAGTCACTACAAAGTCAGATTAGTCCACAATGGGATTTAAACCATCACTACAACCAGTGGAAAGGCAGCTTTGTGAGGCTGAACATCGCCAGGGCCTGTCTTTTAAATTAGAACCAAACATATCTGTTGTGATTTCAGATCCTCATGCAGGCTGGGAGACATGTTATTTATTTTTGCACCTTCAAAAACACAAATTCAACCACAGGATCATTTTAAATAACCCAAGTTGGATTTTCAAATAAACCAGAAAGAATAAAATTTAAGATAATTATTGGTTTTGCAACTTTTATGACATGTTTTTTTTATTTTTATTTTTATTATTATTTATTTAGAGCAGAATTAAGATATTGAATTACTAAAGTTTAAGAACAATTGAAAAATTTACCAAAAATAAAATAAAATAAAAATCATTTTTTGCATGTTTGGATCTTAAGGAGGTTCCGAGTAGACATTCAACATGAAACGTTTCTGAGGAAAACCTTTTCGCCTAAACTGTAACAAACTGTTTTACTGATCAAAAGTCTTAGACCACATGCCTTTAAAACAGGCCAAGCTTGTGCAATTATGGATTCATAATCATTTTCTGGAAGAGAGTCACAGTCATGACATCTTGACAGCAAAACACTTTCCCTTTTGAATGTGGTAGGATTGTTGAACACGGTGCTTTAAGCTGGACAGTTTGCAATGGTACGCAGTACCGCCACTCTCAGCATACTGGGACTTTTTTTCTAGGGTACGGTGCATACCGGTAGTTTTTCTGGTAATTTATTAGTCGAAATCGCAGAGATTTCTGGAAAAATATATGTTCATCTTCAAACACCAGCCATCCACAGCCCCTCCCCGTCCCCGATACGCTGGACACATGCTCCACGAGGAGCCACATTCTGCACAAGAGCTGCATCACTGCTGCGAGGCATGCCACACATACATCACAGTCAGTACCGGCACTGTATTATAAATGGCTGGCAGGAGTACAGCAACTACAAACTACAAATCCCATGATGCACCAGAACAGGCAGTGCAGTCCTATTTCCTCATCCTTCTGATGCAGTAGCTCTCGTCGTGAGACAGGCAGGTTCTCGGTAGCTGATGTTATGGCTCGTGTTTTCGTCAGAGCTACAGAATAAAAATAATACATTTTTTATGACTCTGGTCTGGGTTTTAAAATCATTTTATGGTCAAAAGTTTTCATTTAAAATAACCAATAAAGAATGATTATCTCTGACATATTTGAACTGAATCTTAGTTGAATAAACAACAATAAATCAGATCTTGAATTTGCTTTATGAGGCGACATTTGCCAGCAACTTGAACAAAGTTTTGAATTTGATTTAATCTAGTTTATTTCCCCTACAAACTGATACAATGAGCTCATTTATAGAAATAAAATGCCCCAAAATAACATAAAAACACAAAATAGCTACATGCCAGTACCTGGAGCTGTGCATTAGCAGCAGGTATGAGCCAAATATTCTTATTCCTGCCACAAATCCAGCAGCAGTTTGATCACCTGAATGCCAGGATGAGGTGACTGCACACCACTCTGGATTAGACTCACACCTGACAGCGACACTCAGAAGGTATATAATCTGTAGCAGGTGGAGACCTAATCTATCAGCTGCCAGCAGCTTGGTGAGGTATGCCATTACTGTTAGCTGATAAGTGAACTGCCACACAGGAGATACTCACTTCCCAGCAGCATAGACCTCCGCCGTGTCAAACAGATTGATGCCATTTTCATAGGCCATAGTCATCAGCTGCTCTGCCATCTGTTGAGAAAACAAGGGGTGGGGAATAGAGACGGGGTAAGCCTGATGGGAAATTCTTCTGCTTTAACAGATTATACAAGACTTTACTGGTATCATAAACAGTATGGGATCGTATTTGAATGTTGACTTTAAGTTTAACATAATGCTTTGACTGGTGATGGACAACTAAATCCACCTTCTCTCACCTCGTCTGTTATCTGTCCCCCAAACGTCACCCATGTTCCTACGGAGGATGACAGGAAGGCGGGGTTACAGTCCAAACACGCAAACACACAGAGCAAAGTTAAGAATGAGCAAACTCCTGCGTTTGACTGCTGATCTCACCTAATCCAAGGCAGGAAACTCGCAGGCCTGACTTCCCGAGGTTTCTGTCAAAACAGAGAATTCATGTGCATTAATTCAACACAGATTTCTGATACTGTACTTCGCACTCGGAATGCAGCTGCAAATTACTGCAAATTTTGAACGGTTTGTTTTCATTTTCTTCACACAAACACAAACAAATAAATAAAAACAAAACAAATGAAATAATGAGTCATGGAAGCTGACAAGAGCTGGGTGTCAGGAGAAATGACAGTAACATTATCTGACAATTAGTGAGTAAGTGTGTGTGTGTGTGTGTGTGTGTGTGTGTGTGTGTGTGTGTGTGCAGTAAAATGTCAGAAGAAATCAGAGACAGGAAGTGGGGTCTTAACCAGGCCCACCATGACATTCAGTGAAATATCTGCGATCCCCAGGATCCCTCAGCCTGTCACCTCGTGACTCAAATCCCTCGCAGCGATGCAAAAGCTCACAACTCGCCTCTAAACCTCTGAGCCAATCGCAGCCCAAACCAAACCCCTTCAGCTGACAATCACAGCTTTGGTTGGGTCGTTGATTTCTGTTAGCTGTTGAAGATTTCTAAGATGCCTACGGCTCCTTGTTAAAGGCGGGGTATGAGATGTTTTCCTGGAGCCTTTATTACATGTTGCTAGAAATGCTTTTCACATATTGATGACAACCGATAAATTAAATGGTTGGGGAATTTTTTTTAATTTTAATTGCCTCTAAAATGAACAGTCCTGAAAATACCTCATCCAATCATTGATTACGTCTGATTGTTAATGATCAAGGTCTATCCATCAAACTGCTCCCCCGACTGTCCCTCCCACTTTGTGCCAACCCCTTTATGGGCACAAATCCTGCGTTCTCAGCCTGTAGCAACTGCCTGGGACGGGGAGATCAGAGTTCATATCCTGTCGGGTCATACCAAAGACTTTAAAAATGGGACCCAATGCCTCCCTTAACTTTACTGCAGTTGTGTCCTTGGGCAAGACCAGGGTTTTTCCTGGCTCAAATTGAGGCAGAGGTGGTACCATCCTGACCCTGCGCCAACACATGCATACTCTGTGCATTCAACTGCATCACTTTTTTAAAGGCAAAATATTATAAAAGGCTCAATAATATGCATTAGATTGGTGTTTAGTTCCCTTTTTCCCATCTGATATTTATAGTTAATTTTTTTTTACATTTCAGTAACATTTTAGGTTTGTATTAATAACTCTCATCTTAGTCAAAATAACACATAAATATATCCAGTAAAATATAATCCATTTCATTAACATGCACTTGTATTGGAAATGGTAATAACATTTAATTTCAGCCACTAGCAATGTAATGGTGGCATGTCTATTATGTACGGGTTGGCAATAATCCAGTTCAAATTATGTTCAAAGATAGAAGCATTTGTGAATTATATACTACAATGGCTTGCTGTACATCCTGCTTCTGTGTGCAGCGGTTCTGATCCATAGCGCTGCAGGATGCAGAATAAACAGGATGGTGGGGACGTTTCATCCGCTTGTAGAGTTTAGTCTTTCTTAGTTTTACGATCATCATATATTTTTCTGTGCGCCACTTGACCATGAGACAGCTACCCGTTAGCTTTAGCATCAGCCAACCTGCGTGTAGCTGCACTTTTGATCCCAAACTTTGGACCGGTTCTGCCTTTGTGCCTTTGCTGGTTCCTTTATTTTCCTCCACTGCATCCAGATGACCACACTGTGTGCCAGTAAAAAGCATTTTCTTACACGTAACTTATTTGTTCAATAAAGTTCTGGGCAAAATAGTAATTCAAAGATGTTGCACCAGTGCTACGTGTAAAAATAGACACGCGCAGACAGTTTTTTCGTCGCACTGTACAGCCCTGCTCTGATATGGAAGAGCCTGGGAGAAAATCAGTAAGTCAATAGCACCAACCATAGATCTGTACCAACTAGCAAGAAAAGCAATTTTTGATCTTTGTTTGCAGCGGTTTTAGTGCTTTTCAGTGCACCGCTGCTGATACAGCGCCTGTGTAGTGGCGCAACGCTGCAACTGCAGTTAAAATAACATCCATATAGATGGGGGCAGATTGAAATCAGGCTGGGGCGGCACAAAATTAGCTGGAGGTGGCTGCCACGCAAATTTGAATGCAGGAAAAACCTTGAAGACACTTAACCTGCCTTGCCTGCTGGTGATGGTCGGAGGGGCCGCCGCCGGTCTTCGGCAGTCTTCCGTCAGTGCGCCCCTGGACGGCTGAGGCTACATTGTAGCTCATCACCACCAATGTGTGTGTGTGTGTGTGTGTGAGTGTGGGTGGGTGAATGACTGGTTGTGTTATAAATCGCCTTGGGGTGTTCTAGGACACTAGATGGTACTATATCAATTGCAACTTTTACATACCATGCACATATCATACAAACTCTTTAGCTGCTTCTCCTCTCACTCAAAACATCAAGAGTTTGAGATATTTTAGTTTTTTGCACAAGTGGCCAAACTTAGTCAGGTAGTCTTATTTTGCACATACAACACATATTGTATTATATAGCGCCAAATCCTGACAAGAGTCATCTCAAGGCCCTTCACAAAGTAAACATTCTAATACCGTTCATTCATTGAGCCAATCTGTAAAAAGTTTCCTATATAAGGAAAGTGGAAGTATGCATTATAGGAAATATGTTAGTTACCTAAAATGATTTAGTTTTTCTTTTTTGCATGAGGGGGGCCCTGAATATATTGGTATTCTTTTATACTGGTATCAGAAATTATGAGTTTGGCTGTATCAGTAAATCGATATCGATACTAAACATCCCTAGTTTTTATGGTTATTTGACAGTGTCTGTTGCATCATTCTCCTGTATTCTGCAGGTGTAAATTGGGGGCGGGAATCCGAAGAAAGTGGTGGACCTTTGAACTGTTTTTTCCCAAATGTAACTTGCTTGAACGACATTTTCCCAGAAACATCTACTCCACCTTTAAGCTGCAGGACAACAACAGAGTTCAGTACTAAAATCGCAAATCGGTTTCAAACTGGTTCGTAGGAGAACTGAAAAGTATCCTCACATCTGTAATAAAAAATAAAATACGCTTTTTCAAATATATCAAATTATAAGAAGCTGGGAAAAGGAGTGCTCTGCTTCGGCTGAAGTTTCCTCAAGAGATTAGAGAGAAAAACAAGAAATGTGCTGTCAGGGATGATGTAACAAGTGAGCATGTGGGAGGATAGTTAAAATATTTTACAGGCTGTATGTTAAAAGGAGACAGAAATGTGAATGCGTGCAAAAATTTGTTAAATGACTGGACTTTGGACAACAAAGGCTGTTTCAGACTAAAGTTTTAGTGGAAAGCTGAACTTATCGTTGCCACTGCAATGTAGATTCACAGCTGAAAAGTGTTTGATAATCAGCAGCATCTCTAATCTCTTTTCAGTTAATCACACTTTGCTGGATCAAATGTTTCAGCTGTTACCAAAAGACAAAGGAACATGCAGTGAAGACTCCCACTGATCTAGTTAAAACAATCCATTTATGGTCAGCAAACGTCCTCTTCATCACCTCTGAAGCACGATCCAAAGTTTCCGACACCACCGTAGCCAAAGGCTACATTTCAGCCAAAAATGTTGTTTGAAGCATTTTTATTGGGCGCGTTTATGAATAAAATCAGACATCTGTCCACTACTTAAGCTTGGTTTATTTGATCCTACTTGGCTGCAGCTTTCTTTAAACAAGCTGCTGGGTTGTTTCCAAAGCCCCACGGCGTGAAACACAATTACTACTAAAGCGGCACTATTTCCCTTAAGAATGTTTGAACTAATAAAATAAAACTGCTACAGGTTCACAGGCAAGGTGACAAAACGAGAGGTGCTAGTGATCCTGAATGCTGCCAACATGATAGTATTTCTCTCAATGCGAGTCATGCTTCAAAACCAAGTACAACACAGTCATGAAAACTGTACAGTATGCAACAGCTCTTTCAGGAGCAAAGAGTTAAACTGACATCGGAGTACACCGTTCTGTCCCCTGTCAAATAAAGACAACACTCCATCAGCGTGCTGTTGCCTTTAATATCTGACAAACATGGCCTTGAATACTGCTTTGTGCATAGCTTCAACAACCCTCTGCATGAAAGCAGGTGGGTTCAGGTTCCAGTTGAGCCCAGCATACAGCACGCCCGGCGTTAAAGCCGCCCCTCTCTCTTATGGAGGACAGAGACAAAGACAGAGATGTAGTCTGATGGAAATCAGCTGGGCTTCACCGACACTGACGGTGCTAACCCAACTAAACAACACATTTTATTATGCGTTTTCACAAAATCAGACATATAGTGTGGTATGATAATTAAAGCCTAAATATAATTGCACTAAATTAACTAAAATATAAAACCCCAACAGGTAGGCTAGAAGAGTCAAGAGTACTCTAACGTGATTGGTTTTCTATAGTAGGTTGGTTGTTCCAACCGTAGGCTGCACAAAAAACGAGAATAGTTGCCCACCCTGTGTCGACTCCAGTAGGGTTTGGAGTTAGGAACCAATCCAATATGGCTAAAATGCTGCTGCACTCACCAGCGCCCAATGGGGTGTCTACATATTCATGTTGGGAGTTACTGAAAAAGACCTAAAGGCAGGTGCAAGAGAAGCTTGCACCTGCCTTTAGGTTTTTTTCAGTAACTCGTAATTATTTGACCAATTCTTCCATTACCACACCTCCAAGGGTTGGAGTCACTAGAGATGTTGCGCATCCTGCAACAACCTGGAACTGGTCATACTTTTGATCCGTCTTTTCTCCGACATCCAGTCATAACAGATTTTGACTTTTTTTTTTATAATTATTTTATAGTCTATTAAACTTACAAGCATACTTTATGATACTTGTGCTCGACTCTTCACAGAGGAAAGGTATGCTGCACTGCCAATAAAAAGCAGTCTAAAGCCTGATTTATACATCTGCGTCCGTGTGGAGACACGGAACGCCATTATGCGTTAGCGTAAGGGCTTTTCGACGGACTCACAAAGGGTGTTGGAGACATGTCCAAAATTTTAAACATCCGTCAAAAGTGACGGAGGCGACTTGTGATTGGTCAGGAAGCCACTTCCTGTATATTTGTCACCAGCACCGCCGTTTCCCCGTAAAAAAGTTAAGATATTTAGCGACAGTCCCCAAACAGAATGAAGAACGCATCGCAGAAAAAGTAAAAAAAATATGAACGTTTGTCCGCCCATGAC